TCTCTTGACCACACTTGATTGAAGCGCGAATGATGGATCTTCAATTGTTGAAGAAGAAAGAGAAGAATAAAAGAAGAAGCTCATCATCTTGAGGAAGAAAATTCATCTTAGTCGGCTGGTGAAGCGACCTGGGGGACAAGAAAACTGCTGACGTTGAGCCATGATGCCAAAATTAAATGGTCTGAAAGCCTGCTAAATTATGCGAGGTCTAGGTGAGTCTTTTGTATCACCTACGATGAGTGTCCCGAGTTTTTCTTGTCCCGCCCACGCGACTAACCCATTGTCATCTTAGTTTTGAGTGTGGAGAAAATGAAGTCAGTTACCCTTGACGACGGCGGGAACGACGTCAACGTCACATCTATTGGATCACCCCCACTCTGTCGCTCCAGCTGTCGCTATATTCCCTGACGCACAAGAAATACCGACCTACCCTGCTACTTTACCTACTTCGGAGACATAAACATCACCAACTATCAGCGCCCTGCTGTCTCTCCATCGCGACGCTCTCATACCTAGTATATATTTGTCCTAGACAAGTGGCGTGTCTCAACTCGTAGACGATGACCTCGCGACGAAGCGCCGGGGCTGGCGTTGATGACACAGCCTTGACGACAATTCCATCATCGCCAAAGGAGGTCCAACAACCTCCGCGCACCTTTCGCGACGCGGTCCCCCGCCAGGCGCAGTTCCCTATCGCTGTTGCGACAAGCTTTGCGATGGCTTCGCTTGGATACAGCTTGCTGGGCGAGCTTACTAATGGCGAGCTTGCTGCTTTAAGCCGAAGCCAGGATACTTGGGCAGAGGTTTCGCTTCTTGCCGGATGGAGAGTGTGAGTCGGATGCGCTTGGGAATTGGAAGAAACACTAACGGTGATGCTAGGATTGAATTGACATTGGGATGGTATGGCAAACTTGACAGCCTGGATGTTGCGATGCTGAATCTTCTCTCCCATGGCCCTCACGTCAGTTGACTCCACCCGTCGCAAAATATGGACCAGCAAAAAACTGACCGATGAACAGTACTACCTCCTTTCAACCTTCTATGAGCTCAACTGGACTATTTCGGCTTCGGCTCTTGCTATTGACGTTCTCTCAATCGCTGTGCCCTTCTTCCTGCTTCGCCCGCTCTCTACTATCCATACACCTTCGGCTGCCGCTGCTGCAGGTCTGCCCAACCGCGAGCTTCTCGATCTTCCCCTCCAGACGTACACGGCCGCTCTATCAACGGGCATCTACACCGTTGTCCTCGTCTTGTCGCTTCGATTCATTCTGCCTCGTATCCTGGTCGTAAACTACTCAGGAGTGCCAACATTGGAGCCCGCCTACAATGCTTCATATGCTGCCATTCTTCCCGTGACGACCCTTTTCGGCATCGCCGCCAGCACTTTCATCTTTGCGCCTTTCGCCACCACAGCACGTGCCAAGGAGGACGACAAGCTTAATGAGTTTGATCCCGTGGCTGCATCTCTCGGGGAGACCGTTTGGTGGAATGTGTGGGGTTACACTGTCAAGACCAAGGTTGTTATCCGTCGAACAATTGTTGTTGCCCTTGTCACTGCGGTAAACACGTTCCTCGCCTCGTCCAAGACCCTGTATCGTGTCGATGCCTCTGGAGCTGCCGTGTATGCCGGCGTCTGGGCATTTGCTGCCATCTGCAGTGGTATTGGTCTGGGTTTCGTGGGCGGAGATTAAATGACTGAGATGTCATATTCTAGAAGGCTATATCAGCCTTACAAAGACGAACTTGGTGGGGAGCAAGGAAAGGGTGTCGAGAATATCCTTGATTTGAGATGGAGGGATCAATACCCCGGTTTCATTTATCGATCGGAGTCAGAAGGATTCAGGGCGTGGTTACTTGACGATGTTGAATTCGTTGTCAAGTGACCATGAATGGGTTTTGATATTTATTGCCTTTTCTATGTAATTTTACCAGGTCTTTTCCTTTTCTTTTTCTGTTACTATGCTATCGTATGAATACCATTTTTAGGAGTTCTTCTCTAAAGTCGTCGATTCATTTCTTGCGAAGTGATATTTAGGCAGATATGAAACACTGAATTCATCGCAGCTGAGACTGTCGATGTATCGCACAGGTGCCTTGACTGCTTATTAGGCAACGATGGGGCATCCTGGGCAACGGCTTGGCGTCTTCTAGAAGGAAACAGGGTGGTGTGCGCCTCGAAACGGGGATACTCCAGCCTCAGCGAATTAACAACAAGGAGAGGTCAGTCATAGGGCTGAGGCGCAGATCCAACTAGGGACAAGTCGATGTAGACTAACGGAACTAAGAGACTGTACAGCCTCGGGCGATTCTTAACGAGAACAAGGGTTTCAACGTTAAAAATGCCTGCAGCGAGATACGATACAGTAGGTACACTAGACTACGCCCGAGAATCAAGGCAGCAGAATTGGGTGCAGACTGATCGACAATTCGGTATACTCAAGGGGATATGTCTCCCCAGGCAAACACCAGTAAAACGAGTCCTAAGCTTACAGGCCCTGCTGAGCTGGCTCCCCAATTTCTGGGTCTTTTATGACGCATTGGGCTTGTGAATGCAAGAAATGAAGCTTGTCAGTCATGGTCCATTGTCGAGATTGTGAAATGGTGGTGTTCGTGGGACAGAATGAGGCGTTGGTCCTGGTCTCGGTCCTGAATATAGGACGATTTGATACACCCCTGTTAGACATTTCTAGGCTGGGGGGACTCCACAAAGAGTGCCTTGAGTGTCTCTTCCAGACTCATGAGCTTGAACAATATGGTAGCTATGTCAATTTAGAAGAGAGATACCATGAAAGTAGTGTTATCTTGGAATGAATGAATGAATCAATCACGGTAAAGTTGAAATGCCAATCAAGAGTCTGATGCCTGGTCACCTGGTGTAGGTAGGTAGGCTCAAGATGAATCACAAATTACTGCTAGTCCTCCCATCCCTTTCCAGACCTGCATATCTCCATTGGCTAGTCCGATAAGCCTCTACTCTATTGCTCCAACCTGCATAAGGCGTCACGCCTTTTTGCTGCAGTGCCCGGCATCTCGGTATCCATCTACGGGTCCCGTGCCTGGCTTGAGTAATAAGGGTCCCCATATCGTCCTGCAAGATATGCCTTATGGCTGGGGCTAACATAGCAAGGGGTTGTTTGTATGGACGTGAGTCTCTTGAGGCTCCAGTGTGCCTATGTGTAGTTTCAACCTCTTTGCGCAGACGGGTTGAAAACATGAAGTATAAGAAGAAGGTCCTTGTTCCTAAGGACAGTATTTCACAATTCCATCTTCACTCACATCTTTGCACAACATCTTACAATCACTACCACTATAACAACAATTGCGATCTTCTGAGAGAACACCTGAAACGAAGAAACACACCCAAAAGTCTTGAACATGGCTAGCTACTACAACACTACCGCCTCTTACGCTAGCCCCCCGGCTTTCAAGAGATCTCGAAGCATCAAGAGCGACCATGAGATCGATCTCAACGGACCCATTGAGGTTGTTGGATCCGTCAAGTCTGGAAGCAGCATCAGTCTGAACGGCGATGTGATTGTTCGAGAGAAGGTTGACGCCTATGGAAGCCTTGGTCTAAACGGAAGCATCAGATGCGAGTGAGTATGACCCTTCTCCTGAGTGGTATCCGAGACTGACAAAGAAACAGTGGCAAGGTCAAGGCCTATGGAAACATCTTGGTGAACGGATACACCGTTGCCAACGACAAGATCAAGGGCTGTGGAAAGCTCCGAGTCGTGGGAACACTCGAGGCTACAGACTTGGAGATTTATGGAAACGTGAGCATCACAGGACTATTGTAAGCATGCCCACAGCTATGGCTCTGACTCAACTAACAAGAGAAAGGAAATGCCGACGCCTCGTTGTCTACGGAGCTCTGACATTGATCGGAAGCGACTCAAGCTACTATGTCACAGAGTCTGAGGAAGTGGCCGGAGCTGTCATGATGAGAGAGACTGAGCCCGACTGGGACTGGTAACTGGATGTTATGATGTGATGAAATTGCGAATAGGGAGTCACTTGCATGGTCAGGAGCCAATGATTGGGACTTGTTGTATTACCAGATTGGAAATTGTGTCTTGGGTTTACTTTTGGGAGTATATGTCGGTCGTTTTGCTTGGCGTTGGATACTTAGATTCATCATGGATTCAGTTCTATCTTAGAGGAGGAAGTCTTTCACAAGAACAAGACTATAACAGAAGATATTTAGATTGGAATATACAGTTACAAGGGAAGATAAAGCGTCATCAAGTCTGAGACTGCTAAAGAAATTCCTTTGGAATTCTTGTGAACATGTCCATACCCCCCTACTCAATGACCTTAAGGCCTTTCAGTCACCTCTGAGTTTTGTAATTCCGGTGTTGAAGCCCACTCCGCTTGAAAACCGCCAATATCCAAGTAATGATCTCCCATAAAAACAAGGCCTCCTTGAAAATCATTCTCGGTAATCGGTAAAAGTGTTGCCGAGTTTCAAGGTGACTCCAAGTTTCCACGGCCAAGGCATACTGCGCTAGAGGTTCCATGATCTATCATGACTCCTTCGGCAAGGCGTTCCGTTAGATCACGGGGCCCCCTTGGGCTCCGACTAGACACCAGAAGCACACATAATATTTTCTGCTCGCATATGCGCAGATTCTAGATCGCAAACGCGCAAAATCGTTTCCACAGCTGGAAGTTTCAAGTTGCAGTGCAGCCTGGTGTAGGTAGGCAGCTAACTGGGGTACCTTAGGTTCTGGAGCTCGAATTTACAGCACTGTACCTAAAAGTGATGAGTCAGCTTCGCGGGGTGCGCATGTGGGGCTAAGTCTTTTCGGGGCAAGCGCACCAAGGCCACTATTGACGTCGCCAACGAGCTCCCGTCGCGTTAGCTCTAGACGCGCAATAACCCACATCGACAAATGGCTTCATCAGATTATCCATCATTATAACGTCCTGATTTGCGCTTCACACACGATTGCTTCTCTTTTTTCTCCTTTCGGGCGCGTCAAGCCCAGACTGCGATAATGGGTGAAGCAACAGATCTCGATGGCGACACAAACATGGAGGCCATCTCTCCAACGACCCGGACTTTACCTCTGAAAGCGCCTTCGCTTGAGCGCATCGACAGTCTCGCATCTATGGAATCGCGCGTGGATCCTGATGCCCAGACCACTGTGACAGACTTTCTCGATTTCACCGATTATCTACCTTCCGACATTGTGCGATCCCTCACCCTTATCGGCCAGCTCGACCAAACCTATGCAAATGCTTCCCACAAGATTCACGATTTGACAGCAATATGGGGCCGACTACCAACACTTCCCCAAGAGGAGCGCCCGGCGCCGGTTCAACTGAGGGCAGACATCTCTGAACAGCTGGAGCAAGCCATCAACTCACGCACATTCGCCCATGCTGAAGCTATCAGAATGTCTGAGAACATAAATCGACACTACGCCAAGGCCAAAATTTTACTCTCCAAACTACGCAAGATGAGAGACAACTACCCAACAGAAGAACCCAAGAGTCCTATTCAGTCGAAATCGCCACAATTAGCAAGGAGCAAGGCCCCAAATAAAGCTGCTGGTGATGGCCAGAAGCCTCGGCGTCCACAAGTTCCTAGGATTATTGTACCCGGCGAGATACAGGCGCCGTACGATCTTGACTATGACTCTTACACCGATGAAAGCGAAGTAAGCTCAGACGAAGACTCTGATACGCCCGCGCCAAATCGAAGAACGCCTGCTCCTGGGGCGCGGATCAAGGTCGTTACTACTAAACCACCCAAGACGCCAAACCGGCTTGCTCGTCCAGTCACATATGCTACGCCAGCTCTGAGCCAAGCGGCTGCTGCTAACAACGCCGCTCTACTTCAGCCTCCGCCTGAAGATGCCGTTGTGGGCAGTCCTGATGCCCCATGGCTACAGCTCACCCAATATGAATTGGCCAAGTTGCGGAAACGTATGAAGAAGAATGCAACATGGACTCCCAGCGAGACCATGATCGCTCGCGAGCTCAAAGCTCTAGGACGTGGTCCTGATGCATATCATGAGGCCAAAAAAAAGGCCGAAGATGAAGGAGAGTCCTTCGAACCCCCAGTCCCCAAGCCGGTTATAGACTCCGAATCTGGGGAGAAACAACTTCCGGCCGGCGCTATGAGTGTCGAGGTACTCGAGGCTGAAGAGGTCCCGACGATCAACAGGGGCATGAAACTGAACGAGGCCAAGAAATTAAAGAGGGATAATCTCGCAAAGATGGCAGTAGAGGAAGCAGAGGAATCTGCGAGGAAGATGAATGAGGCTGCAAAGGCGCTTCTCAGGGATGGAAACAATAACAACAGCAACAACAATGGAAGCCAAGCAACTCCAAAAACGCCAACATCTGAGACCCCCAAAGAGACTCCAAAGCCTGCAAAAACCCGAGCTGCATCGCGGTCGACCAAGCGAAAAAGGGAGCCAGAGCCGGGGGAACCCAACAACAGCAACGAGAGTGCTGAAAAGACGGAAAGCCAGTCTTTACAGCCTCATGCCAAGCGAGCCAAAACCGAGACGCCAGTCCCGCCGCCTCCCCAGCTGACTTTGAATAAGGGCCCAAGTCCTGAGCAGGCATTATCCGCGCCTACAGCGCCTGGCGGTCTGGCTGCGGTGCAACACACACAAACCCCCGTTCCCATACCTATCCCTGGTAGGACCACAAGAGGGTCGGTAAAGTCTCCAACAACCGCTACCGCGTCGGCTACAGGACCTTCAAAACCCCCTCAACAGACTCCAGTTCCTCTACCGTTGACAGAAACTAGAAAGTCTGTGACTCCTGTGCTACCTCCAGTGAGAGAGAATAGTAAAAGAGAGACCCGAGGTGAGGCAGCAAAGCGAACACAGCAGGCACAACAGCAAGCAGAACTACCGCCGCCTCAAGTGATCCCGCCAATTCCGGAGATATCTGAAGAGGAGCCTCTCAAAACTGAGCAGAACTCATCCCCGGCGCCTCAGCTCCAACATGTACAAATTGCCCTTGCCCCCCCAAC